GTTTCTTCTTCCTGATCCCGAAATGCCTCTCCCCATGAACTCGTCTCTTTCATAACTCTCCCCCAAACCCCCTATCCAACGTCCTTCAACCCAGTCCCTCAAGTTTTCCATCCCCACCCAGCTCCAATCCACCCAGGAGATCTCTCCTATTTCCCCTTCCCAGGGAAATCCATGAGTGTCCCTTTGAGTCCCCCTTGTTACCTAGCCTCTCTGGAGCTGTGCATTGTAGCATGGTTATCCTTTACTTCATAGCTCATATTCACTTATGGATGAGTACATACCATATTTGTCTTTCTGAGTCTGGATTACCTCACTCAGGATGATTTTTTCTAGTCCCATACATTTACCTTCAAATTTCCTGATGTTCTTGTTTTCAACACATGCTCTGCTCTTGCCTGGTTGTTGAATACCGAGTGAATACAGCCCCAGGATGAACCCTAGGTATCAAGGTACCAACAGGAGCATTGGATACACAGTGCTGAGGGAACCTTAGCTGGGTAGCTTAACACCTCTGAGTCTCATCTCCCCAAAGTGGGGAGGGAGTGTGTTGAGAACAGCAGGTAGGTGTGGCATTGCTGATGCCTCTCTCTGTGGGGGTTTGAAAGAAAATGCCCCCCTAAAGGAGTGGCACTATTAGGATGTGTGGCCTTGTTGGAGGAGGTGTGGTTGTCTTATTGGAGGAGGTTTGTCACTATGGGCTTTTAGGTCTAATAAAAGTTCAAGTCACAGCCAGTGAGACAGACTACTTCCTGTTGCCTGTGCAAGACCACCATGATGATAATGGATGAAACCTGCGAACTGTAAGCCACCCCAATTAAATGTTTTCTTTTCTAAGAGTTGCACAGTCATTGTGTATCTTCACAGCAATAGAAACCCTAACTAAGACAGTTGGCTGCCGTGGGAGGCTGATGGCAGGTCTGGCACACTCTGCTGAGGTACTTGCTCTCCTTTGCCTCATAGCCTGGCTTTGGCTTATTCTGTGCATACAAATGTGCAACCCAGTTTCCTACCAACCATTCAGATAATACCACCACTTCCCAGTGACCTCACAACGAGTCTGTGGAGCTTTCAGCTGAAGGCAGGAGATAGTCTGCACAAATCTCTGTAGAAAGAACTACTTAAGAAGGCAGGGTGCCTGGGAATGGGTGATGCTAATATCCTCCACGGATGCAAGTTCTTCTCAGAACTCTATCCAGTCCAGTTTGTCGAGAGTCTCAGAGTTGACACAGACCGATCTCTTTTCCAATGAGAAAATTAAGCTTCAGAGGAACGGGCTGACATGTCCAAAGGCTCCATGGACAGTGGGAAAGAGATAGCCTGGGTCACTTCTCTATGAGACCTTTGCCTTTCCCATTATACCACTAGTCTGACCCCGGTAACCATGTCTCTTTTGTGTCAGGAGCCAGATGCGCTCTTTCACCTAACATGTCCCATGTGGTAACCCTCTCCGTATGTAAGGCAGCATGACTGACATGGTAGCATGCTGGATAAAGCTAAGCGTCACGGTGCCTTCAGCATACAGCCTTGAATAAGAAGTCCCCATTCACAACTGGTCCCCATTTTCACACATGTGCACATCTTTTGCATGTTCATCCAACCTATAGATGCTACTGGTGAGACCTCTTAATAAAAGCCCAATTAGTCTTTCTTTAGCTTCCCCCTGGATGCTTAAATACCATTGCCCTAAGCACAACAAAATACATCCGTTCCTCTGTTTCCATCAGGGATTCAAGTAGCATCTTGACTTGCACATGATGTGCCCTCCGCAGAATCACACCACAGAACGCTGATACCCTTAATAATAGCAATTAGTAATCAGTTGTTTCTTAAGGATGTGATTATGGCAGTTACTAAATTGTGCAGTTGATGCATTTGAGGGGTTAGGTGGGCCTTGCCACCCTCCTCTCAGCCACCCTTTCTCCGTGCTGTACTCCAGTCGGCATGGGAAAGAAGCCAGGATAAATGATGCAGTTGTCATCAACAACCAATAGTAGGAGGTTGGATGTGGCTTTGAAGTAGAGTGAAATATTTCTCTGCAGAAGAGCATTGTTAATAGGGTCTGCATCTATCCGGTGTAATGTACCCATGACTGAGCTTCTCCTCAAGGCTGAGGCCCTGTTCAAGGCACTGGACACAGAAGTGTGAGGCCAAGCAGTGCTTTGTGAGTTTGGAATATTTTGAAAAAACAATAGCCCAGGGAGACAGCTCAGTGAGTGGTGTGCTTGCTGCCCATCCACAAGGATCTGAGTTCAGATTCTGAGCAACCACGTAAAAAGCCAGGGACAGTGGGTGGCATATGCCTGGAATCCCAGCACACACACACACACACACACACACACACACACACACACACCCTATTAGGACCACTCGTTTAGGAAAAGGAATGGGATTGCCAGTGGGTCCCAAGAGATGGCTAACAGTCAACAATTTCATGGCTCAAAATTCATATAAGAAAAAAGCATGCCAACTTCAACTGGGGATCACCATGAGCCTTTAGGATGCCAGTGTCTCTGAGGGCAATGTAGAGAGCAGGTGCAAGATCATTCCATCCAGGAGTTCCTCTGTGAAACTCAAGGGCCTACCAAGGACAGCCCACTCACATGTCCTACGCAGCACTCAGAGACACTGGCCAGACAGACAAAGTGCCATTTTTGGCTCACATAGTGTGTCGTGGTAGGTCACCTTCCCTTCATGCTGTCAGATGTCTGTCAGGGAGAAGCCTAGGTATAAAAATCTATAACCAACAGACTCATGGTGGGAAGACTGTAACTACCCCACGTATTTTGTCAGTTTCAGGCATTCTGCAGAGTAACTGGATGGGAAGGACGTTGCCACCTAATTAGCAACATGGCAAGAAGTGGCACTTTATAGAGAGGGTTCCAATATACAAACCTTAACCATTCGGGACATATTAGCAAGAGAAATGCAGACAGGACACTCACTCTGGCCAGGGTCCCAGATGGTGGCAGGTGCCAGGTGCCATGACTGCAGGCTTCGAGGAAGGCAGCACATTAAGGGAAACCCCCGAGGAGGTGGGAGCTACAGGCAGGAGCTGGGTGTGCATAAGAAGACCTTTGTGGACTGAAACAGTGACCTGGCCCTTCTCTTTCTAGCACACTCTGCATACTGCACTGAACTGGAGCCCAGAGGTCTAAGAGGAGGTGATGCACTTCATGATATTTAGCCTCAGAGAAGACTGCAGAGTGGGTCAAAAGGGTAAGTACTTTATTTCCAATCACATCACCATCTGTGAAGACAAGACCTCTTCCTTTCAGTTCCTTGACCAGGCTCCTGGACAGATGTGTTGAGCTGAAGATCGGGGCTGACATACCTGAGGACCTCAGATGTGAGGGATAAACAGTACCTCTCTAAAAGGAGCTTAACCGTCACATACTGCAAAGGAATGTTGGCCTAGGACTGATGTCTCAGAGGTTCTGACCTTGGATTTCCATTCTCACCCATTTTGAGTTATTCCCCGGCAGCAATGCCCCATGCATGTTTCTCATGCTAGTGCATACATGTAATCATGCATGCATGAATGTGTAATGTCTTGTGTGTACATGGATACATGTACATGTACACTGTGGGCTCAGGACAAGCACCATAGAGCCACATCTGACTAGCTAGACTACAGTTGACAACAACCAATGGTCAACTACAGGTTAGGAACAACCTTGCAGCAAATGTAACCAGGGGACCACGTCTGTGTTGTGTAACAGTGACAAAAAGGATCAAATGTATGGAGACATTGGCCATGAACCCACACAGATGAGTACCACAATGAAGAGTATTACAAGGCAACACAAAATCCAGCATCTGGTGAGAAAAAGCCTATCAAATAGCCCCTGTGATGTAGGAACGAGTCTGTGAAATTTACACCATAAATGGATAGAGGAAGGGACAGATGGATGTGAGGACAGCCTGTCCTAGGGCAGAGCAGAACCTCTCTTCTTCTCTTGATTATTGTGTAATATTGAACTGGAAGCTGAGGTCACACACACACACACACACACACACACACACACACACACACACACACCCTCAGCATGTGCCATAGACAAGTATCCAAGCCTTGTTGAAGGTGAAACCGCCTGTGCTGAACCCCCACAACAGTACAAAATTGCAGCCAAAACTGGGGGAGAGGGGACCCTATGCCTGGTTACTCAAACTTACAGGAACTGCTAGACCTTACACAGAAAGTGTTTCTGTAGGCATGTCTGTCTGTCCAGTGACTGCCTGTCCAGCCCAAACAGACATGGCCCTGGTGACTTCTGTAATCTGCAATTCTGGGGATGGAGCCCAGAGCCCCGGGCATGGTGGGCCAACACTCTGGCACCCAGTGACACCTGCAGCCTCACCCTTGTTACTGATCTTTGCAGTGATAGCTTAGGTAGTTCTTCTTGCCACAGGGTGGTTTGAATGAGAGGTTTCCATAGGCTCATAGGAGTGGCACTATTAGGAGGTGTCACCTTCTTGGAGTAGATAGGGTTTTGGGAGTGTCACTAGGGGCGGGCTTTGAGGTGTCAGATGCCCAAGCAAGGCCCAGTGTCACTCCTTCTTCCTGCTGCCTGTGGATCCAGATATAGAACTCTCAGCTTCTCCAGTACCGGGTCTGCCTGCATGCCGCCATGCTATCCACCATGACAATAATGGACTGAACCTCTGAACTGTAAGTCAGCCCCAATTAATTGTTTTCTTTTATAAGAGTTGCTGTGGCCACAGTGGGTGTTGTGTTATGGCAACAGAAACCCTAACTAAGATACCACCTTTTATTAGCTTCCCCTTGCTGTCCATCCTTGAGCATGCCTGCAAATTCCAGCCCATCGCAGTGTCTACCTGCCAATACAGCAGCTGTTTTTGAGAGTCTCTCCATTTGTTATTTAGTTTAACACAAAGCTATATGAGAAATGGATATCAAGGCTGCATCATCTCCTTGCCTTCCCTCCTCAGGGCGGAACCCAGCATGCATTAGTAATTGGCCTGTGGCCTCCTGTGGTTACCTAGCAGGGCGCCTGCGGGCAGCTGAGCTGAGGGCTCCTTCATCCAGTCGTCATTAGCCAGCTCTATCACGGCATCCACGGGCTTCACCTCAGTGCAGATCAGTTCCTGCACAGTGTCCTTGTCCCCAGTGGCCAGGGCAGACTTTAACCGCCTCACTAAGTCTGAGCTGAGGGGGTAATCTGGTGGCGAGTCGCAACTGGACATTGTGGTGTCCCTGTGCAGGGGCCAGACTTCTTTTCTTCCTCTAATTTGTGTCCAAAGTTAGCCCTGCCCGGAGCAGCACAGGTGGCTAAAAATAGAACCAGGGCTGGGTTACTGTCAGCAGGGAGGGCCCAAGTTGCTGCTGCCCCCTCAGTTGCAGGGCTGAGGACGCCTCTTCCCAGGGCCACTGTGCAGGCTGTTAGAGGGACGGGCAGTAGGCAGTTCAGTGTGTTTAGAGAATATAGTAAAGCTGTTTTGAGAGATACTCTGGGGGTGACGTTGTTTGAGAAGGTTGCATTAGTCATCCTTTCTCATTGATGTAACCAAATACCCTGCAGGAAGCAACTTAAGCAACTTAATTGGTGTGTGTGTGTGTGTGTGTGTGTGTGTGTGTGTGTGTGTGTGTGTGTGTGATGAAGCAGTGAGTAGACAGGAAGTGGGATGGTACTAAAAGTTCTCAAGGCTAGCACCTGGGACTCACTTCCTGCAGTGAGGCTCCACCCCCTGAAGGCTCCACAACCTTCCAAAGCAGCGCCACCAACTGTGGACCAAGTGTCAAAACACATGAGCCTTTGGGGCCATTGTACACTGAAACCACACCACAGGGTCTCACTCTGTAGCTTAAGCTGATCTTGGCCCTGCCATCCTCCTGCCTCAGCCTCTGGAGTGCAGGGGTGATAGGTATGTGCCTCATGGCCAGCTTACAGGCATTGTTGACTGTTTCCTCTCTTAAAGCTGAGGCCACAGAGGAGAGCTGACCTGATCTTGGGCCTTCTGCTGTGTTGAGAGGGGTTATATGCTGATATTCTATATTGTTTAATTACTAATCAATTTATAGACATCATGGCCATAGACTTATTATTTACAACCTTAAACTCCTGATCCCCCTGCCTCCTCCTCCTGAGCGCTGGGATGATTGTCCATGTGCTACCATGTCCAGCTGTATCTGGGGCTGCACCCAGAACCCTGGTCTACCTGCAGGCTAGCCAAGTGCTCCGTCTCCAGCCCTGGCTTTAGCGTCTTGAGTCTGTACTCCCTTATGAAGGTGATCTGCTGTGTGGCCAAGGAGTGGCCACAGGGATTGGTGAATATGATGGAAAGGATGTACAGAAACACAGTGGCATTGTGGAAGGCTGTTACCAAACCCCAAACCAGAAGGGAGGCGAGGGCCCAGCACTTGTTAGGCAGATAATAGGATGACAATGTCTCAAAATACGGCCCTCGCCGATCTTAATTACCCAGCGATCTGCTGGGTGGTTAATCAGCGGCACATACACTATGCTAATGATCCTGGCTAATTTTGTTATAATGTAATCCTTTATCAAGCCTGTGATGTATAAATTAGGAATTGAAATGTAACTAACACAAATTATATTTAAGGCAACATGCATTTCTTTATTTCAGTATGAAAATTTCTGCTCTTGGCTTCTTTCTTTGATGAACTTTCCCTTGCGTCCCCCAAAATATGAGAAAGGAAGCCAAGTATCTCCGGCTACCCCTGCCTCCCACTTACTTCTTAGAAACCATGGACCTCACTTTCTCCTTCAGTGGTTGTCTTTGAAATGTTCACAGCACATAAGGCAACCATGGCAGGCAGACCCCAGCTTCCTCTAAAAGCGGGAGCTTCCTTGTTTTCTTTTAACTTTTAAACAATCACTGGTGCGGATGAAAGCCCCATATTTGAGGGAACTGTTTTTTTTTTTTTCTTCTTTGTATGTGTGTGGTTGTATGTATACATTTGTGTGTATGTGCATCGTGGGTGTGCATGTGTGTGTGTGTGTGTGCTGGGGGGGGGCAGAGGTCAACATCATGTGTCTTTATTTTTTAATGGTTCTACCTTATTTACTGAGGCAGGGTCTTTCACTGATCCTGGAGTCCACTGATTCATCTGGCCTGGATGACCAGAAAGCCTACCACATCCAGTGCTGGGGTTGTAAGCGCTCATTGCCATGCCTAGATTTTCTGTGGATGCCAGAGAATTCAGGTCTTCAAGTCTGCTACATTGGCTGAGTCATGTCCTTAGACCTTTGCCTGCCTGAATTTATGATTTAGCCAATGCTGGGAGGTTGGAAGGACTGTGGCACAAGGTGTTTTTTTTTTTTTTTATAGCAGTCTGGTTGAAACTGGCCCTTTTGTTACCTTAGTCTCTCCAGTGGTGGGGTTGCAGGCATGAGCCATCATGTCCAGCTCAAGGTAAGTGATTAGGATAAAATCCATTAGAGTGTAGGTTCCATGATTGAGTCTGGGTGGTTTTGTTAGACGGAGAGGGACACACACCCACAAAACACTCCCTGTCTCTTGTCACACAATAGCCACGTCACCTTGGTACTCTACCAGCAAAAAGGCTTTCACTAGATAGGACCATTGACCTTGTACCTCAAGAACCTTGAGATGAAAACTTCCTTCTTTATTAAGTGGCCTGCTTCAGGTATTTTGTTATAGCAACAAAGAAAGATCTAATTGATCTTTCTAGTGGCTAATCTAGTGGTTTCCCTGAGTGAGAGCTGGGGGAGTCAAGTACTTTACAATCTGGCTAAAAAATCTGATTCTTCCTAGCTGTGTCTCTCACACTTTTTCAAGGGCGCTAGAGTGAAAAGAATCAAGAGATTCAGCCAGGACACTGGAGTGAACTTGCTCACTGTTCTGTGGCAGGACTGGCTCGCCCATCAGCTTAGTGGGTGGTGGAGTGGTTTTCATGGTGGATATTTGTGCATCGAGGAAGCATGGCCCTTAGTTTTCTCTGTTTTGATGGGGTGTGACACCAGCCGGGCATGTTAGGTATTTCTGGTGACTCTGGCAGGAGTTCCTGTTCTGAAGGGCTTGACTTGAAGGTCAAGCATTGTGCTGGCTAGATGGAGGATGGAGGTGAGGGTGTGTCCTCAAGAACAAATACCTGGATTTCATTCACCAACTCTACTCCCCCACTTACCGTTCTGAGACAGAGTCTCACTCTGTAGTCTGGAATGGTGTTGAATTCATGATGATCCTCTTGCCTCCTCAAAGTTGATTGTAAGTCCACATTTCACTGGCAAACCCCTCTGAACCGTGCCTTAGGCCAGGCACTGGTTGTGAGGGGAACATAGCACACCTTACACTATGTAAGCTGATGACAGCTCTGGCATGTGCCTGCACTTTAGAAAGTGCGGAGGCTCTCACTGTGTTTTCTTTACTCAGAGCTCAGGGACAGGGGCTTTTGTGTTCTCACTGGGTTCATGAGGAAAGGGCAGGAAATCATTGCCTGAGGTCACACTGCTTGTCCTAGTTAGGGTGACCATTACTGTGATGAAACACCATGGCCGAAAGCAACTTGGGGAGGAAAAGATTTATTTGGCTTACACTTCCACATCACTGTTGATCACTGAAGGGATTCAGGACAAGAACTCAAACAGGGCAGGAACCTGGAGGCAGAAACTTATGCAGAGGCCATAGAGGAGTGCTGCTTACTGTCTTGCTCAGCCTGTTTTCTTATAGAACCCAGGACCACCAGCCTAGGAACGGAACCACCCACAATGGGCTGGGCTCTCCCACATCAATCACTAATTAAGAAAATGCCCCACAGGCTTGCCTACAGCCAGATCTATGGAGACATTTTCTCAGTGGAGACTACCTTCTCTCAGATGACTCTAGCTTGTGTCAAGTTGACATAAAGTTAGCCAGCATGCTGCTGTTCTTCCAGACGACCCAACTTCATTTCCCAGCACCCGGGTGGTGGCTCACAACTGCCTGTCACTCCAACTCCAGGGAATCACACCCTTTTTTGACCTCCATGGGTGCCTGCATTCAGGTGCACATAGCCTCTCATGGGACACACACACAAACACACACACACACACACACACACACACACACACACACACACTCACACTTAAAAGCCAATAGCAACAAATCATGACAACATCATTTGATATTTAATATTAATTTCTTATTACATCTGGTAGTAAACTAGAATAAAAGTATGAGAGAGATTGTCTTTGTGAAAGCAACAGCCAGCCGCTTGGCCGACATGGGGACATATTTTTCCACTACTGTCAAAAGGGAAAATAAAGCAGCTCACTGTCCCCATTTCCTGACTGTCTTGCTTTGGAACTGACTGAAAGGAGGTGCCATACCTAGGAGGTCAGAGTGTCAGCCTCATTACCGATGAAGCCATCTGCAGATTGTCAGTTCCTATCTGAAGCCAGATGATCTTTCTAGAATTCCCTGAATTAGACAATGCTCGCAGTCTGGCTGCTTCCTCCTCCCATGCCTGACTGAGGCTGGCCCCTCTGAGGAAGCTGAAGGAGCAAAATATACTTCTCAGTAGCAGAACCAAATAGAACGCAGAAGGGAAGAAGCCACACAAGCAAACTCACTGTCTTAAGTGAAATCCTTGCTGGAGATGAGAGGGAGGCCAAGAGCATCTGGGACTGTCACATGGATGTAACTCCCTAAATGCATGGGGGAGTATGAGGCCAAAGGGTCCCCAGTGGTGTTCTCCCTTCTTTGAGAAGTTTCGGAAATTGGGCTAGGACAGAAATAGGAAATAAGAACAACATGTATCTTAAAAATTCCCAAATGATGGGGCTAGAGATGGCTCAGTGGTTAAGAGCACTTACTGCTCTTGCAGAGGACCCAGGTTCAGTTCCCAGCACACATATGTTGGCTCACAACTGTCTATAACTCCAGTTCTAGGGAATCTAATGCCTCTGTAGACCTCTTAAAAAAAAAAAAAAAAGATTTATTTATTATGTATACAGTGTTTTACCTGCATGTATGCCTGCAGGCCAGAAGAGGGCACCAGATCTCATTACAGATGGCTGTAAGCCACTGTGTGTTTGCTGGAATTGAACTCAGGACCCTTGGAACAGTGCTCTTAACCTCTGAGCCATCTCTCCAGGCCCCTCTGCAGACTTCTTTATAACACGGTGCACACAAACATGCACACACACACATTAAGAAACCCACGATGACCAATTGCTGTCTGTATACAATATGGCTTGTTAGAAATACAAACATGGACTATGGAGATGGCTCAGTGTGTAAAGCACTTACTGCAGAAGTATGAGGACCTGTGATTAGGTTCC